AACTCCTGGTTACAAGACCCCGGCCAGTGGGCCCCAAACACCCCAGGGCACCCCACAGTCTAGGACAGTGTCTCAGACACCGGTATCTCAGGATACCACATCGATCACGGACAATTTACTGCAGCTTCCTAAAAGAAGAAAAACATCTGATTTCCTCTGAATATTCCAATCACCAGGAAGGTGGCGGTGACCTGGCTGGGCTCAGGACTGCAGACTGGTTGTTGGAAACTGAAGGGAAAATGAAGATAATTTTCTCTGTTTCTCTGTTTAAGCTGACCACGGATTTGAATTTGTTTCTGTACAGATACATCTATTTCTAAAATGGGCTAAGCCTTCCTAAAAGGCTGAACTGGACTTTGTTCCAGCTTGTCAAACTACTTTGAGTTTGTACTTTGCAGAAGAGGGGACACAGCTGTATATACTGAGACATGACAGAATTTTGGAGAGGTTCTCTTTAATTTGAATTTAAACTGCTGCAGTTCACAAGTTAGACCAACTTTGTGATCTTGTTAAAACCAGCAATCCTTAAGAGGATCCCTGTTCCTCCTCCATTCCTTACACTTATGCAGAGTGGGATTTGCCTTGCTGCCTTTGCTCAGGCTTTTCTTTCCACGGGTTTTGGGCTCGCCCTGTTCTGCAGCTGGCAGAGGGGAAGGGACCAGATTTGTTTTTATAGCTGCTCTGTGTGTGAGTCAAAAGACTTGACGATGTTGAGGATCACAACACAAGGGCTGGGGACAGTCCTGAGTCATCCACTGGGGTGACAGTGCCATTCTGGAGAACAGAAGTGGTACTTCTGATAGCCACACCGGGGCTTTTGTGTGGTGTTTTTCTCCTATCCTTTGAAACTTTTGGCTAAATTTTAGAACTAGCAAAAAAAAAAAAAAAAAAAAAAAAAGAAAGAAAAAAGCAGCCTTCTTCTCTAAGGTCTGGGGTGTTGGATGTTGTGTTTGTCTTGGTGGAGAACTTCCCCTTCTGTGGTTTCCCCTGCCACTTCAAAAACTTGTGTCCCTGACTCCGAAAAACCCTTCCAAGGGACTTGAATTTTATAGTGCACCTTGTAAAAATAAATTGATCAACATGGCATTTCCAGGAATCATGACTCAAGAAATTAATAATTTTTGCCTTTTTAGTCCAGAAATAATTCAAGGCTAAGTTTTTTCTTTAAGCAAAAAAATTATTCTCAGGGACCACTGAATGAATATGAAAGGAATCCATTTACTAAAGTTTCCATGCTTTCAGAGATGTCCTTTAAGAACAGAACTGGCTAAATACCAGTTGAGTTCCTAGGTAATTTCAAATACTAATTATTTATCTCATAGTGAAATGCTTATCTCCATTAAACACAGGAGCTCTCTGCTGGAGTACGCGGGCAGATGGTCAGGCCCTGGCCTGGAGTTTGGGTCACTGAGGGGACCGGGAGCAAGGAGTAGATGTGAGGTTCCTACCTGTTTGTGGGTGTGGCAGTTCTCTCCTCTGAGTGTGGGGTGCTCGTGAAGACTGGGCAGTGTTTCAGGGACCGTGGACGGGGAGTACACATGGGTCAGGAGCGGGATGTGACGTGTCTGCCACGGCATTTTAAACTGGTTGTGCTCATACCAAGGTGTAGTTGGGATAATAGAAAGGGAAATATGATGTCTGAGAGTGGTTAGTTCCGTGTTGTGCAATTCATGCCTAAAAGGAGATTGCATTAAATATCCTGTGGATGGTGTTGGTTTTGTGTTCGCCCTCAAGTGAATTAACCTAGGCAGCTGTACTAAAATCACAGTCTTGATTCTGCCACACTGAAGGGCCTTCGCATGGTTTCTGGAAATGTAATTTATTTTCAGTTGAATGCTATAAAACTGGATCTCTTGAAGGGGCTGTAGTGCTCTTCAGATTGGCTGTTCCTGTAACGCCTGCTGTAATGTCTGGTCTTTGCTTCCTGCCGCAGTTCAGCCCCTGATATCTGTAATTAGGGAATCAGTAAATTCTTTGTTGCCAGATACTTTTGCTGCTGTAGCAGTGACAGATAATCTGCCTTACAGGGCCAAATCCAGTGTGAAAAACCATCTTGGTTCTTGATGAGTCGTGATTTTTATTTCCCTCTCATTTTTCAGCGGGTTATTTTTCTCTTGCTGTTCCAGTATATCTGCATTTTCCTGTGTGCAAGGTCCAAGCACACTTCCTCCCTCAGCCAGAATAGCACCCAGAGCTCTCCTAAGGCTGCAGGGGTGGTTGGTGGCGAGCAGTGGTGGCCGTGGGGCTCTCCTGGTGGCTCTCACAGGGCTGGCTGCTCTGAGTTATGGGCTGCTTGGAAATTGCAGGAGCCTCACTGGACCTGGGGCCGTGTGGTGTGACATGGGGCTGTAACACCACATCCAGAGCCTTGGGTGCCTGCACATGCAGCCTGGGCCTTGGCTGCTTGCTCTATGCAGGATAGAAGATGAGAGACCACAAGAGATTCGAGTTCTGATAAGTCTTATCATTGAGCCCCGAGAGATGGTTCTCTGAGCCCTTCCCCTTCTGGACCAGGAGCCTTTCTCTGGGCCAGGGGTAACGAATCCTGCCATGGTACAGGGGCTGCAGCTTTTCACCCACCTGAAAACAGGTTCCTGTAAGGGCTGGGACTGCTGCTTTCTACTTCTCTGAGTAGAAGTAGTACTTAGCTGAGAAGGGAAGCTGTGGTTGGAGATACTTTGTTGTTTTGGGGGATTGGGCTATTTCTCTGCAAAAAATAGAGGAAATAGATCTGCTCACTCAGGAGAGTGGGAAATGAAGCAATTCCCACTTCCTCATGTTTGCATTTGATGCCTCAGTCCCAGCTGCTAGCCCAACAGCAGCTGGCTACAAACCCCAGCTCAGAGTCAGGCCAGGACCAGAGCTGGGTTCAGCCACCACCCCCATTAGCCCCTTCCCTCAGCCATAGCAGCACAGGTGCTCTGCACATGCTGGTTGGAGAAATACTTGTTCCCAGTAGGAAACGGAGTGCCTGTGACGTGCCAGCTCCCACACACCCTGAACAGAGCCAGGGACAAGCAGCCTGTGCCCTGTTCTCATGGTGGAGGCATCATAGGATATTTATTTATGCATCATGGTGTATGGTGCAATGCCCAGGCCCTGAGTGCCGTGGGTTTGGGGTGGATGAGGAGTGCCCTGGATCAGCCTAGGGTTGTCCTGTGAGGCTGTGCTGCAGGAAGCCAGGAACAGCCTGTCCCCGCAGCATCCCATGGGAGGAGCAAAGCTGGGAGTTTGATGCTTCTGCTTTGTACTGGACTATGTTGTCATGCTTTGGGTCCCCACAGACACTCGGATCATGACAGTATTTGGCAGTACACACGAGTTGGCAAAGTAGGTTTTGGCCTAAATCTTCAGTGTCCTGCTGCTTGTGACGCACTCCAGAGGGTCCCTAAGCACATGTCCCCAGCCACGCAGTGCTCCTGGAGCCCCCAGGGCTCACAGCTCCAAGCTCAAGCTTGCTGCTCCTCCAGCTCCAGGGGCTTTTTGGCAGGCACCAATTTCCACTGCCACGTTAAACTTGACATTTAGGTTTGGAAAAAGCACTTCCCTGGTGCTGCTGACCTGAGCACGGGGACAGCTCCTGTGGGGCCAGAGGAGGTGATGCTCCAGAAATCCCACAGAAGCCCTCATTTCCTGCCTGGAGGTCAGCAGCTGGCCTGGGCAGTGGCTGAGGGGCAGCAGAAATATCTGTACATCCATCGGGAATACCCCTGAAGGAAGTTTGTCACTTGGTATAGTGAGTAACTGATATTAACAGGGAAACAAGGAGAGTGTAAAATTGGGTCAAAATGGTTTTGGTGTTTTGAGAACTTCAAATTGTAGCATAAGAGTGGCAAACACCTTGTTGTAAACAAAAATTAAAAAAATATAAAAATGTCCCAGGCAGCTTTCCAGACTGTGACTTGCCACCTGGGCTGACCTCCATCCAGCACCAGTTGTGGCACTGGGCCGCTGCCTCCTCCCCAGCGGTAACACCCAGGGTCAAATTCCTACAGGCAGCTGTCACTTGCGGGGCCACTAACAATGACCTGAGCCGCACAATTAGCTTGCTTTATGCATTTCCTCTCTCTCTGGGCCTGGGAGCTGGGAACGTGGTTTTGCCAGGAGGTATGGAAACACCAGCCATCTCCAGCACGGGCTGTGGGGATGTCCCAGGTGCAGAGACTGTCCCACCCTGCCCTGGATAGTGGGAGCAGAGCAATGAAGAGGCAAGTGCTGGTCAACCTGGGAGCCCGCTGGGTCAGGGAGGGTGGTGCCACTCGAAGTGTCTGCAGTGGCAGGTGAAGGCCATTGCAGCAGGGCTGGAGGGGACCTGGAAAGGCCATGCTGGGAGACAGAGGAGTGTGGTTGGGGATGGGGACAGGCACCACCAGGCTTTCTGGTGGTGATGGAGGTGAGCAGGAAAGGACATTCCAGCTGGGGACAGAGAAACGCTGTCCTGGAGGGAGAGGGGAGTGGTAGACACCGTCCTGGGAGCTGAAGAGAACTGAGCAAGGCCATTCCGGGGTGGTGGAGAGACTGGGGTTGCAGTGCTGGTGAGAACTGAGGGGACTGGTAGAGGCCATCCCAGGGTTACGGGGATAGCTGCAGTGGCCATCCCGTGGGGCGCAGATGGATCAGTGAAGACTCTTCCGTGGAGCACCGAGGGAACGGGGCGGGCTGTCCCAGGGAACACAGAGGGGACAGTACGAGCAGCACCGGGATGCACCGAGACCCCCGGGCGCCCTGAGGGTCCGGTGCGCACGGCCCCACTGCCGCCCCCGCCCCCTGCCGGCGGCCCCGCCCCACTCTGCGGCCCGGCCCCGCCCACCGCCGTAAGTGGGCGGGGCACACTCGGGCCAGGGCGTCCGGCCCCGCCCCCTCGCAGCCGATTGGTCGGGTGGCGCGCGGCGGGCGGGGGCGTGCCGGCGCGGGCACGGCGGAGCGAGGAGGCGCGGCCGCCATCTTGTGCGCCGGCGGAGCCTGCGAGCGGCCCCAGCGCGGCCGCCCGACCCGCCGCTCCCGCCGCACCCAGGGCCGCCCGCTCCCCGCCCCGGGGCGGCGGCAGACGGCGGAGGGAGGGGAACAGCTCGGTGCAGACGGGCTCCCCGCAGCCCCCCCTTTCCCCCCCGCGGGCCCGGCGGCGACCCCTCCTCCTCGCCGCTCCTCGCGTCCCTCCCCGCGGGTTTGTGGCGCTGTGCCGGGGGAGGATGAACGGAGGATAAATGGTGCCCAAGGCGGACAGCGGCACCTTCCTCCTCCTCTTCCTCCTGGTGCTGAGCATCACCGAGCCGCTGCGGCCAGGTAGGGGCGGTGGGGCCGCGGTGGGGCCGGGGGTGCCGGGCCGCCCTCCTCCTCGGGCTCAGCCTGCGGGCGGGTCCCGGGCTCGGGGGCGCCGGGGCTGCTCCGTGGCGGGGGAGCGGGAGGCGGGGGGAGCCCCCGGGGACAGCCCGGGTCGAGGGGCGCGTGTCCCGGAGCCGGTCCCGGCCCGGTTTGTGCTCTGCCGCCGCTTTGTGCGCTTACACAGAGCCGGGACCCGGCCGAGCATCGGTGCCCTGTGCCGGCTGCCTGGATCCGAGAGAGCCGGGATTTACTCTGTGAGTCAGGGAAAAACGCACCTGTTAAAGTGTGAAAGCTTGAGGAGAAATCTTCATAACCCTACGGGCAACGAGCGCTGGAAATGTGGTGCCGGCCGTGACTAAGTTTTCAGGTGCTTCTTTACCTGCTTTTATGCTGTGGGCCTCGGGTGCCGACGCAGCCAGACAAAACACTCGCTTTCAAAGTGCTATTCGAGCCCGCCAGAAGGAGAAAAAAATCCTGCTGCACCTGGTTCCTGTGTCATCTCTCTAGTTCTGTTTGTGCTTCTTTTCGGGAAATAAATCAGTGATGGAGTTCTGTGTGCTAGCTGCTGGGCACGGGGCTTAAAATCTTAAAGTGATTAACTTTGGAGAAATGGTGTTTGCAGGTTGAAAACGACAGCTTTTCTTGGTACGCCGCTCAGCTGGGGTTTCTTTTTGAGTGTTGAACTCCCTTGGAGCTCGGCAGAGCCCTCAGGTGTATCGGGCTGCTCCTGCCAAGGAGCATCAGTAGCCAAAGTGTGAGGCTGCCTGGAGTGGCTTTGCAGGTTTGAGAACCGTCCTCCCGTCGCACCGAGCGACTGCTCCTGGGTGGCACTTGCTCTTTGTAAATAGGAGAATGAGAACCACGGTGTACTTTGAAACCCCCTTGTTCTTTCTCGTCAAAATAACTTTTATGACCCAGACTAATAAAACGTGAGCTGCGTCTGAGCGAGTTCCCAGCAGAGCTGGAACACAATTGGGTCAGTGTAGGCAGAGTTACTGAAATAACTAACTTAGGTGTTGAAACTGCTCTGTGTTTGCCTTGTTTTGTTTTAGCTTGTTTTTTTGGCAGTGCAGTGTATGTACAGGGCTTACGATATGCGCTTAAGTAGCCAAAAAAGCAAAGTGCATGGTGTTGCTAGCCTGGCATTATTACAGCTAGAGGCTTTTATGGCTGAGCAGGTACTGTGTAAAACTGAGTTCAGGCACCTCCTCTGTAGCTGTCACTAAGTGCTACAGGCGGCTGGATTGCTGGCTGGAAAGGTTCAGATTCATAGCTGCCTGTGTGCTTTTACAGGTGGGTAGAATTGACCCTGAACTCGGTTTTGAGCGTTGTAGCCTCCTAGAAATTAGCAAATGGCATTTTTCATATTGTGTCAGCACATTTGTTGTTCCAGTTTGGTATTGAACCTCTGTCAGCAGCTGATGCTTGATGGATGAAGACAAGTTTTTCACTGAGGTTTGCTTCTTTAAGACAAATGATTTTTTTCCCACTGGCTCTCTAATGTACCTGCTGTAGAGATTTGTGCTGCTGTAGCCTCACTGGCAGAAGTGTCTTGTGAGCAAACCTTAACTCATCTGCTCACGTCCTAACCGCTGCCTTTGAAACCTGCAGCATTAGGATTCCCCTGTGGCGGCTCCATGTGCGTTCCATGAATTTTGCCCAAACCATATGTATTCCTGAACCTAATGTGAAGTAACACAGCTGGATATAGTGCTGCAGCTGGAATTCCTTGCTGTGTGAGGAGTTTCTGAGTTCCATTTGGAATACACTCATCCATCCTGTTTACTTGGTGGCTCCGGATGAGCGTGGTGGCTGAGCTGTCCATGGTGATGCCTCTCCTTCCTCCTCAGGGGAGACTCCATCGCTTCTAGGTGGGCTCACAGATTTTTGCCAATGTTGTTTGCTCTTTTTGATTTGCTTCATTTAATATCTCGAACGTGCTGTCTCAAATCTACCTGTTCAGTAGATTAAATAGTGTATGGTTTGATCTTGAAACATTAGGTGCAAATAGGGAAAACCTGGTTCTTGCAAGTTCAGAGGATGTACAGAACCAAATTTACCATTTTAATCAATGATGAAGAAGTCCCTGTAGTCTTTTTTGGGGGGAGAGACATGAATTTTCTCAGAAAGAGAAGAGTATTTGGACTTGGAATTTATTTCCCTTGTGATATTTGCTCTACCTTTTGCTTCTTTAAACCTGTGTGTTGTAGCAACTGTCTGTCTGGTTTAGAAAGGACACCTGCAGCTTGCTTAGCTTAAATCTGTACTTGGAGCTCTGAGATGAGTGCTGCAGAGTGATGGGAGGTTTTATGTACTCTGAGATGAATGTGTAGTCCCTTCACAATTCAGTCCCGGCGGATCAGGCATCTCTTTGTATTTCCATGTTAATTTGACACTGGCTTTGTATGCGTGTTCTTGCTGTGCCCTTCAGATAAATAAAACCTTCTTTTAAGCCTCCTCAACTGTAGTATCTTTTCATGCAATCTGAAAGGCAGTGATTTTACGTGGACTTATTTTTTTCCTGCATTTAGGATGAGATGGGTTTTAGTAAATAAAGAGAGAAATTAATTAAAATGTCTTCTTTTTACCCTGATTTTCCTGTCTTGGTTACATGAGTGTTTTACACTACTGTCATCACTAACAGGGTGGGTTACTTTCAACATACCATGACATCGGCCCCAGCTGGGGAGACTTGGGTTCCTGAAGGTGCTCAGAATTTTCTGAGCCTGTGGATTTTTAATGATAATTTTGTGCCTTTGAGAATCTTTGCTTTGACTTTTTTTTTGTCTCAGTCTTTCCTTTTCTGTTTTGACCATAACCTGCTTGTTTTGACTAGTTGCCTGCTTTATAATGCACTTTTGAAAGAGTTCTTTTTTAAAAAATAGGGCATTTCTCTTTAAGTTGTGTTACTTGTTATGTGTTTGAATCTGTTGATGGGAGTTGGAGCTGAATGTATCGTACTTTTCCAAGTATATGGGTGTAGAGTGAAGGATTAACTTAATATTTCCTCCAAACACTTAGTGAATTTACTCTATCTGGCATTCAGACACTTGCTTTTTAGGGATATTTACCACAGTGGGCTTTGGTTTAATAATATCTTTTCCAGGACAGCTCAAAACATCTGCTTCAGGTTATCTGCCTGTCTGGCCGAGAGCTGGTGTCTTTAGGTAAAGAAATACTTTGATGGCACGTGAACTGAGTCACAGTAAGCTGTTCTGGTGGATTTGGACTGAGTTTCTGAACCAGTGCCTTTCTGTTGGTTATCAGAAGAGCATCAGAGATGTAAATTGTTACAAATGCAGTTTTTCACAGTGGGGGGATATTTAAGAAGTTCCTCTTTCTGTTACCATCCCATTACACCACAGAGAAGCAGGGCTTTTGGTGTCTTCGTGTAGCACTGGGAACTTAAGCAGTCTGGAACGATCAACACAACGTGTTTCAGAAGTGTTTAGAGGATTAATTAAGATCATCATCGCTAAAGACAATAACATGTTTTCATATTTCTCTAACAAGATACTGCTGCGTGCTAATGGAAAACACTTAAACATGGTCAGGCTTTATATTGGATTTTGTAATAGTGGTTTAGTACAGAGCCTTGTGAATGTAGGTCATCGGGCTTTCTTATTAGAGCATTTGCCAGGCAGCTAAAAGCCAATTGAGTTCTTGTTCTTGCAGCGTTTTTTCTCCACTTCAAAGCCAGCTAAAGGAAGTAATTTTATTACCCAAGGTCTGTTTTAGAAAATATTGCACAGCGTACCTAATCTGCAATGCTTAGAAAGACTTGCCAGTGCAAGTGGTCTGGTTAAAACCCTGCACTCCAGCTCGCAGTTTGAACTTCCCGTTCACAGCTCGCTCACAGCTGCGGTTATGCTCTCACAGGTGGGGTGTTGGTGTTTTGACACGGTACAACTGACAAGTTGTGTTTAAAGTGCTCTTTCTTGTCTTTTGGTTGAAAGTTGTAGGTCTTGAATGCAAGGCAGAGCTCACTGGAGTAGAGGCCTAAACAAACAAGCAGCATAGTTTCAGTGTGCTGTGACTGGACGTGTCTGGTTTTGTGCAGATGAAGTGTATTGGTTAATTCAATTGGAGACCCAAATATATTGTTTATAAAATGTGCTCTGGCCCAGCGTTCCTTTGCTCTAAAAGGAGTTTGTTGGTAGGCAAATAAAAGCCCTTACTTTGCTCCTTGTTCGCTGTCTCTACCTTAGTGAGAGCTGTGGTGAATTTGTTGGGGTTCATGTTGTCACTGACTGCAGTCTCTGTATTCAGCTGAATTCCCAAGTGAAAGGTTCTAGGTGTGAGGGGCAGAAGGGTTTTTATCTCACCTCCTCAGTTAGTTTTGCTGAAAGTGGGGCTTGGCCTGTCTTCCAGTCTGGGTTTTCCCCCGTATTCTCTTACTTCTATATCTGCTGGTTTTAGGTTTTCTCTTTCTTCCTATTGTTACCTGTTAGGGAGCTCTTGTCCTGGTGTTCCTTGCTCTGCTGTTTGCTGTTGTTGCAGCTGCAGAGCGAGGCTGATGGATGTGCAAAGGGTTTCTTGTGGCTGCTCTCAGTGTAGCAGGGAGACAAAGCAGAAGGTACCAGACCTTATTAGCAGGTCTGATCCTTTAAGACTGGTAATTCCTGATGTTAATTATAAAGCAAAAATTTTGAGGTGCAAGTGGGTTTGCTGCTAGCCGTGACTACAAAGTAAAGAAGAAGAAAGGAGTCAGTAGGCAGAGGGCTGTTTGCATGCACTGCTCTGATTCTGGGAAGGAATAGACCAGAAGGGCAACGTGGGGTTTTGCAAACATGTGACTTTTATGTCCCTACGGTAGGTTTAGGGGCAGAGGAAGGTTGGTCCAGAGCAGCAGAAGTGGTGGAAAAGAGAGCACTGCATCAGGAGGAGGCAGCTGTGCTTCTTTCTCAGTAGTTGAGGGGAAAGGCCCAGCTAGCTTGAAGAGAGAGGAATTTCAGATCCTA